GCCCTAAGCAGAACTTTCCCCAAAGCTATGTCAAAACACTTGTGGCTTTCTGTAAAACATGTCCTGAAAACTTCCAAGGACTGAGATTTTATAAGCTATCAGAAGATCTTCCTTCACAATGGACTGTGCCTTGCTTATTGAACATGGTGAGACCTGTCAGCAGATAATTTAAAAACATTTGATATATGTCTATAATGCTGATTTTGTATCATTCCACTTCCTTGATCAATGGCACCCTACAGAATTCCAAGCATACTACGTTTGCACAGCTACATCGTCTCCACAGCAATGACAAAAAGATACTTAAGCTGCTGTTCTACACAATCCTAAGAATCATGTAAATGAGGAGCAAATATTAAAACAAAATTTCCACCACTTAATCATCTATGTATATGTTCTTCTTTTGCCTTGATGCGAGTAGCACTCGACCTCCATACAGCATACCCTACAGGGGACACGGACAAGACAGAAGCTAGAGCTTCAGACACCCTATCTGAGTTTAGTAATTCCTTGCACAACCTCCCATGGGGCTTTTAATGACACCAATACATTTCAATGTAGAAGGTGACTTTACAGTGAGGTTACAAATAAAAATCTCTATAGCATACATGTAGAAAGTTTCACTCTTACCATTATCTCTCTGCTGACAGACATGTCATTTAATGCAAATCAGTTTCTCTGTTAGAATAATACTTAAAGAAGTCCTGTCACTGAGAAAGCTGCATTAGTGATTTATGCCTTATTTCAAAGGGATGAGGAACAGCCTTATTACAGCTTCAAAATATAAATCCATACAATACCAGGTTACTATGACAATTGATGAGTCTTAATAGTCTAGATTCAAAGGACCTTTATCAAAGCTGCCTTGCAGTGCAGTAACATAGTGCAGTCATTTGCACCCATAATGGACTGGGAGCAAGGTCATGCAGAAACAGCACAGTGCACTCACAGGGGAAGAGTGCTTTATCTCAGCTACCCAAGGATAGTCTCGAGGCTTTTCAGAACCTAGCAGAGGTATCCAAAACAGTATTTGGCTGCAGCAATACTGAGCTCAGCATTGACCCCCGAAGCTACCTGAGAAGCGTAATAAATTAGTTCACGCCCAGTTGCATTTATCAGTATTTAAAGATGAAGTTACAAACAGATGAGACAATTAAACACCTTATTGATACTGAAATGGACTGTCCACCACTCTAGACTTCTTTTCTCATAACTGTGATCTAAGCTGTTTTTCCACTCATATACTCCCACTAGCTCTAATATTTGTCAGATTTTGCTAGCTAGTTCAGTTCACTAATGGAATAGAAACCTCTAGTCTTCTTTTTTTCTTGAGATTCTGCCAAGGCAGTAACTTAAACTAGTTTACTGCATAGTTATAATGACTTGTAAAAGGTAGAACAGAGTAGTAATGACTGGTAGGGATGCTGAGTTGCAAACCTACCCTGTACTCTCCCCCCTGAAAAAGGTGGCACTTGAGCTTTAATAGCAGTTACACAGATACAGCAATATCCACATTCCTGATTCACAGACTTGATTTGCTCTACAAAGGCAAGATTTTAGTGCTGCAGGAGTACTGAATCCTGCAAATAGGCAGACTGTGATTTTCCAAAGATGATGATAATGCTCACTTTGCAATGTGGGCATTGAGAAAACAGGGGAAAAAAAAAAGAAAAAAAAAGAAAGAAAAGGAAAAAAAAGAAATAAAAGGAAAAAAAAGAAATAAAAGAAAAAAAAGAAAAAAGGAAAAATAAAAGCTAGATACAGACCTCTTATATATGATCATGATCAACTGGTAGGAGAAAGTGGCAGAAATTAATTTTCTCAGTCTGGTCAGGTACCCAATATTGACAGATTTTTGAGTATCACAATACACTCCAAAGCCTATTTGCATGGATGTAAACACAAGGCTCCCAGACCTTTGGAACGGGCAGTGCGCAGCAGCTGTGACCTGCATGGGGTGATCATGAACTACTGTGTGCCAGTGAAAACTGGTTGCAGCCTGCCCAGATGCAAGCCAAGCAACAGCAGAAAAAAAAAATTAATTGCACACCATTACCTTACTCAGAGAAGTGTACAGCACGTCCCCATAAAACATATTTAAGGAATAATCTGCAGCTGTTAAGGTGGGGACACTTCATGCACAATGAATGAGTGAGGAACAGACCATGTTGAAGAAAGTTTGCTCCTGAAAGAACTGCAACCAGTGGTCATTCCCTATGTTGGAGCAAGGACAACTAAGGAACAGGACAACTGGAATCCCTATGCCCAGGATAACTGAAAGCACTTGGCACTGAGTGGCAGAAAATACAATGCTTGGAGGGGCAGAAAGCATTGTGCACGCTGCCTCAACTTCCCGTGCTGCCTCTTGGCTCACTGGGTGAACTCTGACAGACAGAGTGTACCTCACAGTGAAAATAAAGGAAGCTGATACTCCGGGGCAGAGGAGAGAAAAAAAGTACACTGACATGTTTGCCTAATTGTTCGCCTTCTTTTTCTTTCCTCAGTACCTAAATCAGTGATAAAAGGTTTATACTGGTTGGTACTAAATTAACTCGGATAAAATTCCCCAAATTCAGACTGGTTTTGTTTACAACATCTGTATATTGGAAGAATTTTCTACTGTGTGAAACCATTATTGAATAAATCCACTTCATCATCTGCACAAGTGGAAGCTCGTTTTAGAAAGCAGAAACATGCTGATAAAGTTCTATCAGTAGCAACTTCCTGAATTCATACACAGCTGTTGAGATAATAGGTCTTTTTGAATACTAAAATGACAGGAATTGCAACAGCACTCATGATCCTGACAAAAAAAAACCCCACAACAACAAAAAAAAACACACAAAAAAAACCCAAAACAAAACAAAAAAACAAAACAGAAACACAGGCATCTTGACATGTTTCCACCTCAAACAACTGAAGTTTTTTTAATATGAAATTGGTAAAAGAATCTGGTTTTTAATGTTGAAAACATACATCTCAAGAAAAAAACAAATCTGCAGGTTAAGTCTCCAGGGCAGGAATAAAAGTTCATTCCTATTACTTTAATACTGAGTTAACATGGAGAAGTACATACCAACTAACCTGAAATATTTTATCTAGTGACATTGATTCCTTCCAAATCTACTGGAAGTTAAAGGTCATCTGATTAGTCAGATAACCATTGCTTCTTTCCTTTCAAACACTGAAGAAGAAAGTGTTTCCAACAAGTTCAGCTATACTGGAAAACTGTGTTTAGCTTCTGCAGTCATCAGTTTCCTTCCAGTGCCTTTTTTACAAGATGCTCCTTCTGAGCACAAGAACTATGCATGTGGGTGATGAGCAGCAAAGACACTGCTCTCTGTGTCGTCTGTGTGGCTGATGATGTTAATGTTGTGTGTGTATCTGCATCTTTGCAATATGTACTCAGCTTGGCTTTTGGCTGGACTTGCAAAAAGGAACAGCAGCAGACACAGCTATCAGTCTGAGATGAAAGACACCTTCTGGGCTTTGGACTGCACCAGATCTGGCTCTAGTAGCTAAAGAAAAATAAATCCCCTTCAACCCAGGACTCACCTGCTCCTTAGCATTGTCTACCCTCAAGTTATGTAATCCTGCTAGCAAAGTCTCAGTACACACTAAAAGATTCCAAATAAAAATGATCCTGTAGAAGTCACATAAAGAAGATTCACCTCACATGTCATGTTCTTCCAAAATCAAGATAAACTTCAGGGAGCAAAAAAAAATTAAGGATCTGAATTTGGAGTCTTGTGGGGCTAGAGTCATGGTAGTAAAGCTGAAATTAAGCCTTCAAACTGTCTTCCTGAGGCTGACAGAGGTTCCAAGAAATTCTGCCAGTTTTGATATTGATGGTGTAGGAAACACCCTACCGCACAGGAACAGATCATTCAAAGTCAATTTTACAAAGCCAATATTTAAACTGCTGATAGTTCATCCCTAATTGAAACTGGGATAAACAGTTGTTTTTGTGGAGGTTTAAATTAGGAGATTGCATTAGTTCGACTCCAGACAGGACTGAATGCAGGTGATTCAACTAGGACTAATGACAGTGAATTGATCTGAATGTTCGAGTTGGCCACAGATTGCTTTGGGACTTCTATGGGACACCACAGCCAAACAGAGCAAGCGCTGCAACACAAAGCAATACAGCCACGTCAAATACGTTGAAGCGTGCAAGCTGATTTGCTCAAAGTGCAATGCTGACTAGCCAGAGTAAAGCACTGCACTACCAGGAGTTTACTGTTTCTGGCAACTAAGGTAGGTCTTTGCATAGCACCACTTTGTTATGGAAACATGACAGCTTATCTGGCAACAGCCCAGGCAAGCCTGTATGGTACCTCAGTGACCCGTCTAAAACATACCTAATTCATCACATCTAAGTTGGAGGAAGGGTTTCATATCAAGAACCTATATGCAACAATGTGTGGTATAAATGAATTAATGCTACTATGAAAATCTTCAAAGTTCTTCAATCCTCTGTTCAGCTACATTTCACATCAAGTTTTAAAATATCACCTCAAACTATACAATTGCTGGTGTGTTGCTTTCAAACAACCCACCAGCTACTTATTTCAATTTTTAAATAACTGTAACAAAAGTCAAGACAAAATCAGGATCTAAAGAGCACTGAAGTTAACAGAAGTATGCAGAAGATAGGTAATCCGCACAAGTAAGAATTTACTTCACATTCCAAGTAGTTTTCTTCCTATAAAATTATTTCTTATTATTAATAATGTGGCAGCTTCTACAAGCCTTATCACAAAGCAGCATTCAGTGGTGTTAGGCATCAAACAGAATAAAATACTGTTACTGCCCCAAATACATTGTTAATTAACTAAAGACAATATTTGTAAAAATGAAGATCAGAGCATACAAGGATTTTAAGGTTCATTTACACCTACACTCAGAACTCAGGAGAAATATTTGGAAAATAAAGCAAATTTGATGGTGTCATGTAGTGTCTTATAAATGCATGGCTTGTCTAAGCATGCCCCAGCATTTTATGGCCTGATACAGCAAGACCTCTTATTCACATCAGATTGAAGCTCAACGGTTTTCTCTTTCACTTTATCTTCGTGTTCCTTTAAAATCCTGGAGGAAAGAAACAATACCGTTGAGAAGAAAGTTAATACCCATAAGACATCAAAACAAAAAATATTTTCCCCAAGCCTATAAAATTATCCAGAGATGAACAGAAAATGACAGAATTTTGTGAACTAACAAACAAACAAAAAGGTACAATTACGGTGACCGCATCACAAAACCACCTTTGCTCACCTAGTTAGAAAAGTGTAGTTGGTGCTGATTTAGCATCATTGTTATTATACGCTTATTTAGCATTTATTGTATATTACAGAGACTCAAAACAGTGATTTTCATCTGTTATTTCACCTGTTTTTGAGGCTGAAGCAAAATAAAACCACATCTGGCTACCTAGTCACCTGACACATTCACAAAATTTCACTAACTTCTGCAACAGTATTAAAGACCTGCCAATTCATTACCACTGTTTTCACCTCTGTAAGTACTTCAGAGGAGATTTACCTGTGTTTTCACCCCTAGCCGTAATATAACTTAAAAAATCCAGCTCTTCCTCTCTCGAGTCCCCATGCAGACAGCAGAATCTGAGCTGTAATGACCAGAGGGAAGAAAGAAGCACATCCAATGTTCTCCTGCAAGGACTCAGCAGCATCCATTGCCAAGTAAACTTCTCAAAACCTCCAAGAACTTTCTGCAAGAACTATCACAACATCCCAAGCCCCCCTGCTCGCCTAGCAACAATTCAGGTGTTTCTGGGTCTATGCAGAGCTTCTCTAGCTTACACAGGGCTCTTTACGAACCTGAGCAACTGCTCAGTTGGAGAAACAGGGCCAGGCTACAGACCAGTTTAAAAGGAACAAATATTTCATCACCGTAAGCTCCTATCAAACTAATTTAACAAACAGAATTCACTCTGTGTCATCAGTGACAGGGAAGTCAGGCATGTATAGAACTCACAGATTATGTTTGCTTCTTACCTAGCTAAGTGAAGCACCGAGTTTTTGGTATTGTACCCTGAATATGCACTGCATTCATAGAAAATTAGATTGTAATCCTAGAATCAAATAGAAAGACCACTTCAGTTAAGCTTGCACAATATCTCACTTCAGCTCTAAGAAAAAAGCAACATAGATATATTGAAATACCCAATTAAAGAAACAGATCATCCTAGGAAAAATTAGAATTTCATTCTAGAGCTAACAGTAAAGAGTAACGAAAGAAAAGAAGTCCAAGGGTGCCTCCCTGACAACAACTATATGCATTTCTTAGCAGTACAGCAGCTTTTGCTGGAAGAGTATGATCTCTGAAAGCCTCAAATGCAAACATGCTTTGTAAGATACTGAGCTTTCTCATGAACTTTTTCTTGTGAACGTTCCTTGGGATGATGAGGCAATTCGTACATCACCGAGTGCTTGACAAAGCACATGAAAATACTTCCAGTGACTTGTTTTGTTGTTGTTTTTTTTAATTTTGGCAAGCTTCAGCAGCAGTATTTCTGTATTCAGCAGTTTGAGACCAATGTTTTGCAGCAAAAGACCAAGAAAAAACTACAGCAAAAAAATAACAACAAATTAATTCATTTTTTCACTTGTGAAATTTTTCTGCACCTTCAGTCACCCTGCAGCTTTGGTTTTGTAGCCCCTGGGAGCTTTGCAATTTAAAAAAATGTACAAATTATCAATCCCTGGAGACAATTCTCAGCACTTCAGCTGAAGCCATATCACAATAAATGCAAATGCAAGAGATCATCTGCATGAAATCCTGACCTGGCAGCTGTGATGGCAAGAGGAGTCTGAGAGGGAATGACAGATTTTTCTCTCCAAAAGACAACTGACTACTTTAACAAGAAATTACATTGAAGATCACCTACGCTGCCCCTGTGGCATCACTACCTGCCCTTCTACCCATCCAGATTTCAATTTTCTATTCACTTACTATTTTTCTATGTGTCTTATTCCTATTTATGACAGTATCTTAAAAATCCAATAAATAAGTCAGTAGCTTAGGAAATTACAATCACATGTCTGCATATTTCATTTGTTTGCTATTAACTGTGGTTACTGGATTTGTACTTGTTATCAGTGTTGTCAAATGTCAGTTTTGAATATGCTTTCAGCAGTTATATGGTTTGTTCTAATGAACATCACGATTAAACCTCTTGTAGTAATTTCTGAGTGGCCAGATAAGCACAGAAGAACAAAGAAGGGAAGAAATCCAGCAGTGTTAGATGGATATTTTATTGATTTTTTCTTTTAAAGTGTTCTGTATAATGTTTACAATGGCAAAACCCTATGATTCTCTTGCTTTCCTAGAAAAGTTTTATGATAAAACTTGACAGTCGCAAATTTCTTGCTAGCTATGCAAACAGAAGCTTAAAATATAATTTAGACCTTTTTTTTCTGCTGAGCTGATGAGAATGCTAATAGAAAACCTACTGCGGTCTGTATCTAGCTAATTTATGTCAATCAAGCAGAGCAATACTACTCCTACAACTTAATTTCACTAGAGGGAAACTCTCACTGACGACACCATTTATGCTGGTATGAATCTAAATGGATTTTTAAACAAATTCCATGGGCAGGGCAATTTCTTATTGGTGAAATAGCCATTTAAAACTCAATTTATATTAATTGCTTATTTCTGTCAGTCTGGCAAACAGATTCTTCTCTGGAGGGGGAGTCACCCTGGAAATGCAAAGTTTTATTCCTTTGAATCAGGGAGGAAACTTAAATTTATAGCAAACACAACAGGAACAAAGTAGCAGAAGGCAGGACACATATAATTAATAAGCCCAGAATGCCATCCATCTCCATCCAGGAACTGGCTATAGAACCTGGAAGATCACTGGCAATTACTTCATTTAAAAAAGCTACATACAGATCAGCAGACATCTAAAGAACAGGTAGGAAAATGAATGATTACCAGAGGGAGCTGGGCAATTTCTGTCCTGTAAAGTAGTATCGCTCTGAGAATAGCTCCCACATTAACAGTATTTGTGTAACAATGGCACTGACAGGTTGATAAAGGAGACACTGTATGAACACACAGTACCAGTCCTCATCCCACGAAGCATACAGAGTCTGCAAAGTCAAGGCAGACAAAGGCATTATTATTTTATAGTTGAGGAACAGACATAAAGAAGGATTTATTGATCCATTTAAGATCATTCAGGAAGTCTGTGCAGGGCTAAAATAAAATCATGCTGCCTGAATACCCGAGCAGCACCTCTATCATAAGCCATTTTATTTAAGTAATTGGCAGTGGTTACACTAATCCACTCAAATAGAACATTGGCTGTTCCTGGATGCTCACAATATGCTCTGAATACTCTGTATTGTTGTGCTTATATGAACTCTTGGATCAAGCTAAGCTAAACAGAAATTTGTAAGTGGAATTTTCCTTCTGGATCCTCTGCTAAAAAAAAGTCAAATGGACTTGCCTCTTTTTTTTTTTTTGCTTTCCTTTCCTTATCTTTTTTTTTTTTAATTTCTCTCTCTTTTTCTTATACTTCCAGCAGCTCTATCAAGAGAGTTTTAGATGTTTTCCATCAGATCATTCTTGTACTGCATGGGAGCATTTTGCTTTGCATCTGCTGTCTCTCCCTGCAAAGTCAATGATGCGAAATTCTCCTTATCATCACGATGTTTCCTGTTTAATTTATTCAACTACAGTTCAGCTTCATCACAGCCTTGTTGTTCCCTATGATAGCTTCCATCATTTCAATCCCTATCCTCATTCTATCCCCCCTTTCCTAGGGTATCACACAGACACTGCAACAACCAGTTTTCTCAAATGACGAGGCATTGAAAGGATGTCCTTCAGGCTGCCGTTCTTCCCTTCAGAAATGAACTGTGCTGCCTGCCTTGCAAAGACGTCACACGACACGTGCATTATAATGGGAACCCATGACTTTTGGACCAAATTTGTAGTACATTGACTTTTAAGATGTGAAGCAAAGCAAGAGTTAATAGCGCTGGGCTGGAATGCCTCCTGAAATTACACATTCCTCTCTGACTACAGAAAAAACTAGGTAAAAATGATCCCATTCTGTGAGATCTTGAAACAATCCATACAAACTGTTGGACTTCAGGGTCGATAGGCTAATCTGGTTCTTTGTCTACATGAGAACAGTGTTCAGGGTTTATCTCACCAAATACGGGTATACATATTAGTACCAGCACAGCATCTAGTCCTCTGTATTTGAGGTAATTTTTGAGTAATTCATGGTGAGTAACTCAACTGCATTCACCAACAGAGATCGTGGTATGTGGTTTCATGGGAACTGCGTGGCTATTTAGCAAGAATTAATATTTCATTAAAATTCATGGTTATTATTAGCTCAGCAAGCAAATTGTTATAATTTAATTATATCTGTACTGCTTTTCAACTAATCCATTGTCATTAATCATTCCTTCCCTTAGCTACCTCAGGCAGCATATTCAAAAATTGAAATGAGTCATTCAGATCCATTCATTTGATTATAACCGTCTTTAATTTGACAACTTTCTTTGTTTTACTTATGCAAAACATTTTATTTTCTTCCATGACATGTTAGAATTAATGGCCTGGTGGGCTGTGAGTTCTATATATTAGAATGATTCATCTTTGTTTTACTAGTACAACTTTTTAAGAGAGCTAAATGACACGTAAGACACCTACTCTGTCCATTTAGCATTTATGTGTCATTTGTTTTTCCACAGAAGGATTCAGTGTTACACCCTGGAGTCCCTCCTAGCCTCCAGGGTCTCAAAACTATCTGCATTTCCATGCATACAAGAAAATAAAGCAGATTTCCTAAAGGGAGAACCTTTTAGGGATAAAGTTCAAGGCTGGTATTGCTCCCCTGTAAAAAAACCAAAATAACAGACACAAACCTGAATATGGAGGTATGCTTGTAAAAGGCTGCATGAATAATCAAAATAAAGATTAAAAAGAGCTCTGGCCCTAATTCCTGCAGTTATAGAGGTGCCTAGCAGCAATCTTTCGTATAAATCAAGAACAATTCAGCTGCACATCCTTTTTGGTTACCAGCAAGCAGAGCTGTAAATCTGTTTTCAAAGGAGAAACAAGTACATCTGTGAAACCTAGCCCATTGTTAACTTCAGGTAAATTCCTACCAACTCAGTTAATTTCTCAGGAATACTGGGATGACTTATGTCGAAACAGATGGATATTCTGGAGGCATTTGTGCTCAAACTATATGCATTGTATAGAGAGATTCAAAAGAAAAACTGACGGGCATGTTACACAGGAATATAAACAAGTACTGGCTATTTGCAGTCTCATAATGCTTAATTTATGGCCCATGGATCACCAATGCTCTGGTAGATGCAGACTGTTAACTATACTTATTTTATCGCCTTGATGGAAAGTTACTAAAAGTAAACATGTTTTCTACTCCTACCATGGGAGTAACAGATGGTCTTGTGTGGTTTTACAGGAGGTAGGAGGGAGAAAAGGTCCCCAAATTATCTCTCTGTTAAGAATCCATCCACAGAAAAAAGAGAGAGAAAAAGAGAAGGGAGGAAAAAATAGAGAGAGAAAAAAGATAGAGAGTGGAAAGACCACGAGACTGAATTCTTAAATAATTTTTGCACCATTCCTTGGGTTTTTTAATTTATACAGTTTTATAACTACTATAATTATCAGCATTTACATCACTGAGAGCTGAACTGCTAAGTGTGATGAGGTTTCCAATTCTTAAAAATACTTGTCTAATTAAAATTAATCTGTATTTCTATGAATTTAGACACATTCAGACTTCATTTTAAAACCTTCACGTTCAAGTTTTGTAAGGTCTTCCCCTCTAAGTATATTACCTTAGCAAGATGCTCTCCCATTCCCATAGGGACCTCACGTTCCTTTTCATTATCAGTCTTATTACCCAACAAAAGCACGGGTATATTCTCCCCAGCTGCCTCCTGCAGAGCAAAGAATAAATATCAACCAAGGCATTGTATTTTAAAAAATTACAGATCATAAGGATAAAAACTAACAAAGATCACACTGCAACAAGATGTTTCAGACATCATGTACAAACCAGGTATGTGCTGCTTTACTTACAAACATGTTCAGTATTAAAGTTGGATAAAAGGCATGAAAAAGACAGAATGCTAGAGATTGTACTAACTTGGCATTTTTAAATTACAGCACAGAAGCTCATCAGATTTCATATTAAAATGGGAGAAAGAAAACTACCATGCTACACAGGCTCTGACATTGTATGATTATAGCCACTGCTTTTCAGATTACATGGACAGGAAAATAATGATGACATCTTGGTAAAATTATACCAAATATATTACAAGTAGGGGAGAGATACACAGAATAGGCCCCAAAATACACAGAATAGGCAGGAATCAAAATTAATTCTGAAAATGGATATAAATGTCACAGTGAGTTCATTAATAAAGTGGGCTGAATGCTGCAGCAGTAAATGGACTTGGATGCATGTCTTCAACTTAGCAATAGTTTGTAGCAAGCAGAATTAGTCAGTAAAGATGAGTGAACCATTACAGCTTGAAAAATATTTTGACCACAATATTTGACTTTTTTGGATCAAAACCTGAAATTCTCTAGCTTTTACCATACTGAATTATAACAATCACATTTAATAAAGGCCTGTTCTTACAAAATGCATGCTACTATTACTTCAGTAGAGCTGTTCGGATGAGAAATAACTATGCCTGTTCGGAAACATTTGAATAAATGAGTCCTAATTTCAACCTGCAAAGCCACTTACTGGCCATTATGGAAAATAGTGTATTATACTAGAATACATGTCCAATAAAATCAGACTAAATGATCTCTGCATACCAATTTTTCCCCTACTTTTTCAGTGGCAATAGTGAGCAAATAGGAAGTCACACTGTTCTCTCTAGCGACTCCAGTCCTTTTTGGGAGCAGCCTCAGTTTTATTTTTATTTTTTATTTTGGCCACAACCAAATCCAGGTGCTTGCACTCTCAGTATGTTGTCTATGAGCTAGAGAGATATCAAGAGGAAAAAAGACAACTTTTAATTAAATGAAGCCACTCAGTGGCAAGGGCTATGATTTTGTTTTCATGTGGTTGAAAGGATGATCCCCAGGAAACTGAACTGTCTACCACAGGACAGTTTTATAGCACTAATGTAGACACTGTAGCTTTAAGTTGATGTCTTATGTTCACAACACAGTCAATTCCCTGTGAGCTACATACTTGGTTGTCAAGCTGCTAGTGATGATCAGTGATCATCAGACCATCACTGCTGATCCAAAGCACCTCCCAGTGCTAGTGGATATCCAATGGGAACCATCAGCTAGATAACCTTTATGAGAAATCAGAGGACTCCATGCTGGGCTTTCCCACCATTATAAGTCCTTAAAACCCTGGAACTGTGATTATTTTCATAGACACAGACGTTCTAAAAACAGCTATACTGGTATCTGTGCAGACCAAAATCACTAACAAAAACATAATTGTGACAACACAAGATACTTGCTGCTCTGTGTGCTTTGCCCTGCTAACACTCCCTGTCCGGAAGAAGGTAGAGAATAATGACAGCAGAGTTTAAATTTAAAGTGACGTCACGTTACCTCAATGCTTATCAGCCACTGCTTGACAGCTGTGAATGTGTCTTTTGCTGTTATATCATACATCACAATGACGCCATCAGCTTTTCTGAAAAACTGCTTGGTAATACTTCGGTACCTACAAGTAAGAACCTGTTTACAGCTCTCTTCAACAGAAGTAGCAACCTGACAATATAAGTAAAATTTTATAGTCATTCCTCCTGTCCCCAAAGGAAGATGTTGCCATATGGTTTCTTCTACTCGTCTAGTCTTAGTAAAGGTTAAACCTCTGTTGATTTGGTTTATATATGTATCCTAAAATTCCATAAACTAGGCAAAGGAGAAGCTGTAATACTGATCTTCACTGCAGAACCTGTTTGAAAGGTAAGCCTTATTATGAATTGTAGTAAGCAATCCCATTCTTCCTGATCCATCAGACCCCTTTTCACATTCAGCAGAAGATTCACAGATGACACTTACTACCACAAATTACTGCAATAGCAAATAATTCTTTGCAAAAAAATGTATTTCAAAATAGACTGAAAAAGTTCTCTCTGCCTTCTTTAGTTGATTCTGGGTTAGTGTGGATAATCAGTTGCATAGCTCACCTTCTCCCATCCTCTTTCATTCTGAGGTTGGAGCAGAAATTTCCCCCCCACAAAAGGCCCTGTTCTGCCTAAAGCTAGCTAGATTTCTGTTTGGGGCTTTTTTTCCAAAGCTTCCTGTAGAAAACATAGATCATAATTACCATCCTTGCTTCTAGTAATAGAAGACTACACAATAGGTAAGGAGATGGGGAAAGAAATTACCGCTGAAAACTTAAAAAACTTGGAAATCTTCAACTACAAAGGGATTACTTCAGAGAAAAAAAACCTCATCTTTTTTTACTATTAAGGCATTTTCTGCTATAGAAATAATTCTGGGTACATTACTCAACCAGTGAGTTTTCTCACTTTCACCCTTGTGATTCTCTCTCTCATCCCACTGGACGGGAGAGTGAGCGAGCAGCTGCGTGGTGCTAAGCTGACTACCATGGTTAAACCACAACAGAAAGTTTCTCACCGTTCCTGGCCAGCAGTGTCCCAGAGCTGCAGGGCTACCTGGGTATTATCTACTGTGATGGTTTTCACATTGTAATCCACGCCTATAAGAGAAATACAAGGTAGGTTGTCTCTTTATATGCTCAGTTTGATCTTTGAATACCTGATCCTGCAAATAGCAACAATTCCAGAAAGGTAACAAGATAGATACTACATTAAAAATTATGTCCATAGTCTCTCACTATCAGAGAACAAGAGCTTTTATTCCCAGTTCTTCAGTAATAAAATACTCACCTGAATGTTCTTAGATTGCCACAAATGCTAGACAAATCCACTAATTTAGATACCTTCTGCTGTAAACAAGTTTTATTTCATATATGCTGCAGAATAAGTAAAGCCTAAATACAGACTAAGTATAATGAATCTGGTAATTTACAGTAACTCAGCTGCATTGCAATAACCTGTACTTAAGTTTTTGTAGCTTGATTATATGTCTGACTTTTGAAAGTTTGGTTTACAACTTCAGGCAATGCAAATACAACATAGACTTTGAAATGTTTAGCTTTGAAAACACGGGTCCAATATATTTCTTTGGTGCTTAGTATAATGCTAAATCTTCAAACATAATTAAGTTATTCTACTTTCTCTCTAAAACAAAATCAGATTACTTAGAGGGATAGAGACTGCGTATAGAGGTAGGATGGCTAGCACAGTGCAGTCCAGAGGACAGGATATCCATTTCAGAACAGCGAGATTTACAAGGAAATTCTAGCTTTCATTGAAATCAATATGATTTTTCTGATTTATTTCAGTGCTCTCAGGTCTTCAGTACAGAATCTATTCTGAAACCTCCCCATCAACTACCTGCTTCCCAATTTAGGAGACATCACTTTGCATGTCCTACTCTCCTTTTGGATAATGGCTTTTACAACATCTGTATGTTTCTGTTTTATAACACAGGGCCTGATCTCAGTAGAAGCTGTTTAATACTGTTGGAAAAAAATAATAATAGTAATAATGTTTCTTAAACTTACCTACAGTAGCAGCTGTGCCTGGGAAAAAATGATCTTCACAAAATCGCCTTAAGAATGAAGTCTTTCCAACGCTCGAATTGCCCACAAAAATAATCTTGAATAAGCGGTCTGGGACAGAGTTTATTCTTTCCTCCTTCAAGTAAGAGCAAACATTAGTCTCCAACTGTTCTATAAATCCTGCTGTCTGATTTGCCTTGTCTTGAAGGCTAACTGAGATGGAAAAAAGAAGAGATTTTATCCTATCATGTTCTCCATTACTCATAAAGCAATATTCTGCTTCTTAAAATAACTCTGCATTTCAGATGTTTGCCATGCATCATTCCAGATCATTTGAAGTGCAGTGATTTGGACTGAGCTCTGGAAGTATACTGAACACAAACCTTGACATGAGACTGCATTGAAAAATGCATGGAATTGCCAAAAGAAAATGGTTTATGTCGATCCCTGCAAAACAAAACCCACGAAACTTCACACAGCTCTGCTCAGTAGTTTCACCCTATACCAATGACATAGGCTCATCTTCACCTAGATAACAGAAGCAAAGCCATAACTTTTTGGCTTATGCCATCTATCACCAGATTCTTCTCCTTGCTACTACTGTGGAGCTAAGAGCTTCCATGGAATTACTGCACTCCTACATCTGTTTAACAGTACAAGCAGAAGCATGGGGGAGACAAGAGACAGAATTAGACCCAGTTAATCAGGGTGCAAACATTCAGCTCTCTTTCTGTCATTTAGTTTTTTAAGCAGAAAGAACAATTTGTTCTGCCTATCCACATCCTGTTTACTGCAGGCTAAGCTAAGTGGATGCTGGAGAGAATATTTATATCCTCTGTCAAGTAGGTCATTATTCCCAAGACCTTTGCATATAGATCAGAGCTGCTTAGGGAAGAACACTGGAGCACCAGCTGGCCTCTTCACTTATTTTGTGCAAAGATGGAGGAGGAAGAGGAGGACAGTGAGACTGTTCTTCATGCTGCAGAAGGAGAGCAAGATCATGGATGCTCCTAGCATTAGTTTGCTGGGGTAGGGTTGTGAGGAGGGAGAGGAGAGGAGGGAAGGGGCAGGAGGGAAAGACCCTCTGCCAGGCATCTGAGGTACAGAACGCCCGAGACTGCGGACTTCAAGAAGATATCAGAACTGAACTCACTTCCCAATGCTCCTTTGAATGGGACACTGAAGTCTGGCCTTGCAAATGCTTTCTACAAATACACTGAAGCCTTACAGAAAGGAGGAGAAACAACACAGATTGTCTCAGATCCTTCATCTTCCTAGTGCAAAAGAGAGAATGACAAGACTTCATATCTGAGTGAGCTACACAGGTAAAAACTGCATGGAATCATTCTGCCTCCTTTGCACAAGTATTTCTGGATCCCACACTCCTTTATACTGCAGAACCTTTGAGCAGCAAGACATGAGGGGAGAGAAGAACTGGCTGCAGGAGACACTCTAGTTGACATATGGCACTGAGACTCGCACCTCATAATTCATGATGCAGGAAGCAGGGAGTTTTTAACCTTTTTCTGATGTTTTATTCAGGTCCAGTTAAGGATTATATGCAGAACTGCCTGGAAAACACACATTAATTGAATACCACTCCTCCTAGCCCAGGCATGCTGTCAGGAGAGGGAATCAGTGTGCGAGCACTCTATGGAACAAGATCACTTCTGATGTCTAAATCGCATGGTCAAAAAAAGGTGATCCCAAGAGCCATCATTTAGGAAATGCAAAGTTGTATGAGAAATACATCAGACTACAGCTGGTGTATGGAAGGAGATGAAGCACTGCTCGCACAAAGTGGCAGGGGCCAGACACTTTTACACAGCCTAGAGACTGCCCTAAGCAATGGAGTGCCATCAATTGAATAGTTGATAGCAGGCCAAGAGGACCATGCATGTATTTCAGTGTCACATGGACAGAGTTTACCAAAAAGCAGTATTCTGCTGTGGTTTATTTTAAACTAAATATTAAAAAAAACCCCAAACAAACAAACAAGGAAAAAACAAACCCAAACGAAAGACTGGGCTAAGGCACTGACATTTCACAAAATCATAGAATACCAGGTTGGAAGGGACCACAAGGATCATCTAGTCCAACCTTTCAAGGTAAAAATATAGTTTAAATGAGATGAGTAAATTATACAGAATTTCCAGTTCTAAATGACCTTTGTAAATGAACTTCTGGTTAACCCTCATGATGTTTATTTAGAAACTGAAACAAAGTGTTTTCAACAATCAGGCAGGAGACATTTTTCTTCTCTTCCCTCCTTGCTTGCTCTCAGTTGTTTATGGGAACAAAGAAAATAATAAGAAACAAGGTCTTTTTTAATGCCTAGTTCCTACCCAGAGATGATGGGGCATGACTGCCAAAACAGAGCAGGCAGGACAGGTTTGTCCTAGCTGAACCTTGCTTTTGCTGTCCTAAAGTCCAGTGATGCCATAAATAAAAAATGTGATAAAAAATAAGACATATAGCAAGAAAAAAGTGTAACTGTATTAAATCATTTCAAAGGATGAAGCTCTTTTCTGTGCCCAAGACTTTTTATTAAAATGTACTACTTAGAAGTTATTATGTAACCATGGCATGACTCTATCATAATTTTTAAGATATGCTTGCTTCTTCTAAAAGAACTATATAATTATGACCAAGCATACCTATTTTTCCTATACTGTAATCTTTTTAATATGTGCTTCAAGAATCTAAAAATGAGTAATACTTACTCATTACCCAGGTTCCAGTATAAATTGGGGAAAGAC